CCCTGCGCAATGCGGGGCATGAGTAGCTTGGGAGTCGTTCTACAGAGGTGATGACGTGACATGGGCGCATATACTTCTGCGAGCGGCATTCGTGAGGCTCGCAGCCACCCATGGCTTGCCATGCCCCGCTCAGATCTGCCTGGTGCCTCGCTCCGCTGGACCCACCAGCAGCCCTCGAAAGTGGCGACAGTTTTGCAGATCGCAGCCCCCTAGGGACGGCGAGGTCCCGCTCAGGTCCGCGCGGTGCTTTATTCCGCAGGACCCACCAGCATCCTTCGAACGTGGCGACAGTTTCGCAGATCGCAGCCCCCAGGAACGGCGAGGTCCCGTTTGGGTCCGCGCGGTGCCTCACTCCGCAGGACCCACCATCAGCCTTCGAAAGTTGCGACAGTTTCGCAGATCGCAGCCCCCCAGGGACGGCGAGGTCACGCTCAGGTCCGCGCGGTGCCTCACTCCGCAGGACCCAACAGCAGCCCTCGAAAGTGGCGACAGTTTCGCAGATCGCAGCCCCCCAGTGGCGGCGAGGTCCCACTCAGATCCGCGCGGTGCCTCACTCCGCAGGACCCACCAGCAGCCCTCGAAAGTGGCGACAGTTTCGCAGATCTCAGCCCCCCAGGGACGGCGAGGTTCCGTTAGGGTCCGCGGTGAGTGCCCTCTCTGTTGGCCTCCCCAGCAGCCCTCGAACGTGGCGACAGTTTCGCGGATCGCAGCCCCTCCAGGGACGGCGAGGTCCCGTTTGGGTCCACGGTGGGTACCCTCTCTGCTGGCCTCCCCAGCAGCCTTCGAAATTAGCGACAGTTTTGCAGATCGCAGCCCCCCAGGGACGGCGAGGTCCAGTTTGGGTCCGCGATGAGTGCCCTCTCTGCTGGCCTCCCTAGCAGCCCTCGAAAGTGGCAACAGTTTCGCAGATCGCAGCCCCCCAGGAACGGCGAGGTCCCGTTTGGGTGCGCGGTGAGTGCCCTCTCTGTTGGCCCCCCCAGCAGCCCTCGAAAGTGGCCACAGTTTCGCAGATCGCAGCCCCCCAGGGACGGCGAGGTCCCGTTTGGGTCCGCGGTGAGTGCCCTCTCTGCTGGCCTCCCCAGCAGCCCTCGAAAGTGGCAACAGTTTCGCAGATCGCAGCCCCCCAGGGACGGCGAGGTCCCGTTTGGGTCCGCGGTGAGTACCCTCTCTGCTGGCCTCCCCAGCAGCCCTCGAAAGTGGCGACAGTTTCGCAGATCGCATCCCCCCAGGGACGGCGAGGTCCAGTTTGGGTCCGCGGTGGGTGCCCTCTCTGCTGGCCTCCCCAACAGCACTCGAAAGTGGCGACAGTTTCGCAGATCGCAGCCCCCAGGGACGGCGAGGTCCCGTTTGGGTCCGCAGTGAGTACCCTCTCTGTTGGCCTCCCTAGCAGCCCTCGAACGTGGCGACAGTTTCGCGGATCGCAGCCCCCCAGGGACGGCGAGGTCCCGTTTGGGTCTGCGGTGAGTGCCCTCTCTGCTGGCCTCCCCAGTAGCCCTCGAAAGTGGCGACAGTTTCGCGGATCGCAGCCCCCCAGTAACGGCGAGGTGCCGTTTGGGTCCGCGGTGGGTGCCCTCTCTGCTGGCCTCCCCAGCAGCCCTCGAAAGTGGCGACAGTTTCGCAGATCGCAGCCCCCCAGGGACGGCGAGGTCCCGTTTGGGTCCGCGGTGAATGCCCTCTCTGCTGGCCTCCCCAGCAGCCCTCGAAAGTGGCGACAGTTTCACAGGTCGCAGCCCCCCAGGGACGGCGAGGTCCCGTTTGGGTCCGCGGTGAGTGCCCTCTCTGCTGGCCTCCCCGGCAGCCCTCGAAAGTGGCGACAGTTTCGCAGATCGCAGCCCCCGCAGGTCGTAGCCCCCCAGGGACGGCGACCACAGGGGGGGCGGGAGGAGAAGGACGCGACCACACCCCTCTATTCAAAACGAATACCCAACCAAGGAGGGTTGGGAATGAGAATTAACATTAGCAGTATTACTAAGACGAATAACGATAAGAGGGGGAGGAGGAAGAGGAGGAGGAAGAGGAGGAGGACGAGGAGAAGGAGCAGGGGGAGAAGCAGCAGGAGGAGGAGGAGGAGGAGGACGAAGATCATGAAGAGGAGGCGGAGGAGGAGGAGGAGGACCATTGTAAATCCACGGGTCACCAACGATGTGGGAATACACCCTGTCCCCAAGCTCCCTCCTCACAATCAACGCCACGAATCAACATGACTGTTGCTCGGGATTTCAACGCCACGAATCAACATGACTGTTGCTTGCTTCTTGACGACCCTGAACCGTGCCAGAACGCTAGTCCTGGGACTTTAGCACCCCGAGTCAACGTATCGGTTGCGCCCTCATACTACCATTTCTGGCACGTCGATCATGGGACCCCGCGGAACCCTTACAACTTTTTGGAATGAATGTGCGCGGCGCTAAGGCGAGAGTCAACTTTCGAAACGGAGCAAGGAACAGCCATGGTTCCGTGAAACTCTTGCAATTTTTACAACGAATGTGCGCGGCGCTAAGGCGAGATAAGCATTTTGAAAAGGAGCCGTCCTCAATCCGTGAAGCTGTTGCAGTGTTTAAGACGAATGCGGGAACCACACTTTGAAAACGACCTGCCCTTACCCCGTGACACTCGTGCAACGTGTTAAAGCGAATGTGCGCGGCGCTAAGGCGAGAGCCACAGTTTGATAACCACCCTTCCTCCGTCTATGAAGGTGTTGCCATATTTAAAGCTTCAGGGTCAGAAATGGTCAGGAAATCTCAGGCGAAACGCCCAGACCGCCCTAAAAACTTGCCTCGGGGTGCGACAGGGAGAAATTACTTATAGGAAAAAGGGGAGGAGGAGGAGGAGGAGGAGGAGGAGGAGGAGGAGGAAGAGGAGGAGGGGGAGGAGGAGGAGGAGGAGGAGGAGGAGGACCAGTGTCAGCCCAACAGTTACCAACGATGTCGGAATAACCCCCCAAGCTCCCCCTCAGAGCCCCCTAAAACGGTTCACTTCCACAGAGGGACCTGTGTCGTTGGAAGACAATCGTTTGAAGACTTTGAAGCATGCCAAAACATTATTCTCGGCATTCCAGCGCCACTTCGTCAGTCCTGGAGCCCCCTTGGCCCGTCTCGGGGCCGTCCTGAGGGTCTCTTGGGTGGTCTTGGGGCGGTCTTGGGCGGCTCTTCGGCGTTCTTGGAGCGTTGGAAGCTCGAAAACGCGAGAAGCCAAAAAACAGTTTTAACAAACAATCGACGATTATGGCCTCTTCGGGCCGTCCCGGGACGCCTCTCGGACCTCTCTTGGGGTCTCTTGGAGGCCACCTGGGAGCTTCGAGAGCCGTCGGAAGGCTGACTTGGGCTTCTTGGGAGCGTCGCAATCCTTTCGCCTTCTGGGGGCTCCTGGGCGGCGTCTTGGGCCCTCCTGGAGTGCTGTGGAGGCTCCCTGGAAAGGCCGGGGGAGCAGTACCCGCCAAGTGCCCTAGACGGCCCCAGAGGGCTCGAAGACTGCCCAGGAGAAGCCCAAGACAGCCTCGCAGAGCCCCTGGTGGTCCCCAAGACAGCCCCAAGAGGGCCCTCCCCGCGAGGCCCCGGAGACGCTCCACTTCCACGTCCGCACCATGGCGGGCAGACTCCGCGGCCAGAAGGCCGTGGGTTAGCCGCCCTGGCCAGCTGACTGCTGGGATCAGCGCGTGCGAGAAGGGCGAGCAGTGGCAGCGGGCCCAGCGCTGCTGAGCGAGATGCGGGAGGCGAAGCTGGAACCCGGCGTCATTTACACTTCAGCGCTGGCGGCGCCGCGTGCGGGAAGGGCGGGGGACTCAATGGCTCAAGATCGTGCCAGCCGGCCCGGGCGCGCTCCCGGGCGGCCCCCAGGACGCACAAGGACGCCTCCGGAGGGCCGCAGGGTTACCCCGAGACGGCGTACCGTGACCTCACGAAGGCCTCAGGCGGCCCCAAGAAGGCTTCCAGACGCTCGGGAGGGCTCCAAGGCCGCCCAAGACGCTCTCAAGACGGCCCCCACAGGCCTCGATGAAGGCTTCCAAGAGGACCCCAAGAAGCAAACTTCGTCCTAATCCTTTCGGAAAATGTGCAGTGTCAGGATCCTCGCGTTTCTCGTATGAACAACGCCCAGGACAGTCCTATTACCTTTGAAACTTGCCCCAAGACGGCCCCGAAGGCGCCCGTCGCCCTTCCACCCCCTCTCTCGTTCCCCCCTCTTGCCCCCCCACTGCCTACCCTCTTCCATTGCTTCCCCCGAAGCCCCCCACCACTGCGGTCCAACACAACGGTCCCTCCCTCCTTCCTCCTCCATCCTTCCTCCTCCCTCCTCCCTCCTCCCTCCTCCCTCCTCCCTCCTCCTTCCTCCCTCCCTCCCTCCCTCGCTCCCTCCTTCCTCCTCCTCCTCCGTCTCCTCCTCCTCCTCCTCCTCCTCCTCCTCCTCCTGGTGCTCCTCCTCCTCCTCCTCCTCCTCCTCCTTTCCTCCTCCTCCTCCTCCTCCTCCTCCTCCTCCTTCCCCCCCGCGAGGCCCGGCTCGCGGCGGCGGCCCGGCCTTGCTCGAGGCCACCCCGCCCGCGCGTCAGTGGCTCCTCGCTATGCTGCTGCTGCCGTCGTCGTCGTCGTCGTCGTCGCCGTCGTCGTCGTCGTCGCCGTCGTCGTCGTCGTCGCCGTCGATCGATGGAGGATCGATCGATCGATCGGCGTTTGAGGCTCATGGTTCGAGGAAGTGAAACGGCCTAGGCATGAACATGCGGAGCTGCGCGCGGATTTCTGGGGTCGGCTCTGGGCCCCCCCCCCCCTGGCGGCGCCCCGGGCGCCGCCCCTGGCTGGCACCCTTTGCCCGTCAGAGAGGGGTTCCTCGGGCGCGGATGCAAGAAATTCCGCACTGGCCTGTGATCGTTTTTTTATTCATTGTTTTGGAGTAGATCTTGGGCCGTTTTGGGCGCCCGTTTCGAGCAGGTGGAGTCTCCCCTCATAGGACCCACTGTTGCAAACAGTCGCACTAAGCAGAGGTCTAGAGGAGCCAGATTCCTCCCCCTCCCCCCCTTTTGCCCAATGTCGAAACGCCGAATAAGAAAACGCTCACCTGGCCTCCGGACATTATTCTCATGCAGGCTTTTCGAGACTCGGCTTTTCGAGACTCGGGGGATGCACTCGTGGTCGCGGCTGGGTTCGCCTCGAAGTTCCGGCCAGAGCGAGCGCCAGAAGAGGTCTGGGGATCGGTCGGTCGGTCGGGCGGTCCCTCGTCGTCGTCGTCGTCGTCGTCGTCGTCGTCGTCGTCGTCGTCGTCGTCGTCGTCGTCGTCGTCGTCCTCTTCTTCCTCCTCCTCCTCCTCTCGTCGGCGTCGTCGTCGGCGTCGTCGTCGTCGTCGTCGTCGTCGTCGTCGTCATGTTTCGCCGATCGTCGCTGAGATCGGCCCTCAGAGGCCCACTCGGCGAAGCAGCACCCGCCGCGTGCGAGCGATCTCCTGCGGTGTTCGGAGGCCTCCTGGAAGGCTCGAGGGGAGGTCTCTGGGGGCGCCCCCGGGCCCTTCCCCCCTCCCCCCCCGACGGCCAGAAAGCGGCCACAGAGACGCCCAGGAGCAGGGACAGTAGCGAGACGAGGAGGGGGAGGACCAGGAGCAGGCGCCCCCACCTCGCCAGCACGGCATCGATCATTCTCAGGATGCGTCTTGGCCCAGCGTGCGTGCTTCTCCGCTCGGTCCCCAGCCATAGCACGCAGCCTGTCTAGGCCCTCGCTCTACACCGCATGCGCCGTGTCGAAGTGCTTCGGTGGAGAAGCACGCCTTGGCGCCAGCACACGCGCACACACGTCCTGGGGATCATCGGCAGCAGGAGGAGCAGGTGGACAGGCACGAGGACGGAGCAAGAGCAGGGACAGAAGGGAGGAAGGCCCGGAGGAGCGGAGCGGCTCGCGCGGCTGCCCAGAATCCGAGCGAGAGCCCGCGTCTGCCCGCCGTGGGGGCCGCCGTGGGGGCCGCCGTGGGGGCCGCCGAGGGCGCCGCCGCAGGGGCCGCCGAGGGGGCCGCCGAGGGCGCCGCCGTGGGCGCCGCCGTGGGGGCCGCCGTGGGCGCGCCCGGGCCGCAGGTCCTCGAGCGGCACGCGCGGCAGTCGGCGGCGCTCGCCGAGGCGCCTCGGCACGGCGGGGGGCGGTGGGCCTCGCGGCGGCAGCGGCGCGGCGGCGGGCGCGGCGGCGTGCGGCGGCGGCTCGGAGGGCGGAGGCGTGCGCGGCGGCAGCGGCAGCGGCAGGTCGTCACCGTCCGTCAACGTCGTCGCTATGGCCCGCCGCCGTCGTCATCGTCGCCGCCGCCGCCGTGGAGTTTCTCTTGTTGTTTCTGTTTCGGGCAACGGTCGTTTCCCGCGGGGGAGGGGTGTTGGGGCCCCGGCTGACGGTAGCGCTCGGGCGGGGCGGGGTGGGGCCCGTCGGGGCGCGGGTGCGCTGCGATCGCCGTCGTTTGCGCGCCAGGACCAGCATGTGGGGGGTGGTGGTCCAGGTCCCCGTCTCCTCAGGTGGGGACCTGGACCAGGGGGTGTCCAGGGGGTGGGGGAGGGGTTGGTCCGCGTCAAGACCGTTACGTGTCAGAGGATAAAACATCACTCTTGTGGTGGCGGTGGTGGTGGTCGTCGTCGCCGTGGGCATGATTGCGGTGATAGTCGTGGTCGTGGTGGTGGTCGCTGTGGTCGTCGTGGTCGTGGTCGTGGTCGTGGTCGTCGTCGTCGTCGTCGTCGTCGTCGTCGTCGTCGTCGTCGTCGTCGTCGTCATCGTTGGCCCATTGTCAGAGGTGGTCGTGGGCGTGACCTCGGTGGTGGTCGTGGTCGCTGTGGTCGCCGTGGTCGTTGTCGTGATGATGGGCGCCGCCGTCGGAGGAAAGGGGAGGAGGACGGTAGGGGAGAGCAGTAGCAGGAGGAGCAGGGGAGATGTATACGTTGTTTATGTTAGTGATGCAGATGATGAGGATGGTGACGGCGATTGTGAATGATGATGATGGTGATGGTGATAGTGGTGATGATCATAATAGTGGTGTTGATGATGATGATGATGATGATGGTGGTGGTGGTGGTGATGGTGATGATGATGATGGTGATGGTGATGGAGATGAGGATAAGGATGCTGCTGCTACTGATGATGATGATGATGATGTTGATGCTGATGCTGATGCTGATGCTGATGCTGCTGCTGCTGCTGCTGATGATGATGATGATGATGATGATGATGATGATGATGATGATCATGACGATGATGGTGATGGTGATGCTGATGGCGATGCCGATAATGCTGCTGCTGCCGAGGAGGATGAGGAGGAGGATGACGGTGAGGAGGAGGATTCTGATGACGACGATGTTGTTGATGTCGAACATGGTGCCAAGGACGAAAACTATGGTCAGGAGGAGGAGGAGGAGGAGGAGGAGGAGGTGGAAGAGGAGGTGGACCAGAGTCAACTCAAGGTGCATCAACGCTGCTGCAATGCGCCCACCCGTCCCACGTCTCCCAGCCCATGTAAGCCCCTGCGGGGATGCTGCTCCACTGCGGGAAGTGCTGCCTCCTCGACAGACGAACGCCCCATGGCCTTGCAATTCAGGCAGAGCCTTTTGTAATTATAAGAACTGTTCTTCTTCTTCTTCTTCTTCTTCTTACACTAACGACAAGTGGTTTAAAAAGTAAGCAGTACTTCCGTAAGGACGGCGGCGAGGGGCGTCGTAAACCGCGACCGAGTGTGCAGCGAGAGCCCTTCGTTGGACAGGACCCGTCCTCGGTCCCCGCGTGCCTCGTCGCAAACCGCGATCGAGTGTGCAGCGAGAGCCCTTCGTTGGACAGGACCCGCCCTCGGTCCCCGCGTGCTCCGTCGTGAACCGCGATCGAGCGTGCAGCGAGAGCCCTTCGTTGGACAGGACCCGCCCTCGGTCCCCGCGTGCTTCTCCGATAAAAATCAGGAGGAAAAGAAACACACAGACACAATTAATCCTCGATTCCCCAGAAAATATGGGAAAATTTGGGAAGTGGGGGGGAAGACAGAAACCCAGAAAATATGGGAAAATATGGGGAATCTTTTTATTTGTGTGTATTTATTTGTGTGTCCTGGGGCCCCTTCAAAAAAAAAACACAGCCCTGGCCTACAACAAAAACGAGAGCTCTCACGGCAGCCTCGGGCGCGCGAGCGCCCCCGCCCTGAGAGAATGGCGCCGGCCCCTCCCCCCGGTGGAGCCGCCTGCGGCTCAACGAGGGGGGGGAGGTCTCGAGCGGACTGGAGCGGACACGCCCCCCGTCCGTGTGGTTGGTGGGGGCCTCTACACCTCAGGCGATGCTTCAGAAAACTTGAGTTTTCGGCCAGAGAGTCTCGATTACTCTCTTGGCGTTTCAATGCAGATCCTGAGGTTTGAATGGGAATGTTGGGTTCTCATTCAAGTTCTGAGGCTATGAATTTCTTAACCCATGACTTCTCAAGCATTTCGCAGGGTGTATGTCGAATATGCTGCCCCTTGCTAGGTAATCGGGCGCACGCGCGGCCCGCTCGGACCTCACTCGCCGTGGGCGCGCTCGCCTTCGGCTGCTAACAGAAAAACTATGTCGAATATGCGCGGCGCTAAGGCGATGACCGCACCTTGCAAACGCCCCCACCCGCGTGACCGCCGAATGTCTTCAGGGCCCATGTGCGCGGCGCGGCGGCGAAAGCCACAGTCTGAAGCTTCGCCGGCCTCCTTCCATGTAGCTGTTGGGAACTTGTGAGACGAACGTGCGCGGCGCTATGCCGACAGCCAGATTTCGATAACGCCCCCCCTCTATCGGTGTAATTCTGGGACGCTCTTGAGACGAATGCGCGCGGCGATAAGGCGAGAGCCACATGCCCACCTGGATGTGGTAAGCTTTGAAGACGAAGGTGCGCGGGCGTTCGAGCGATGGCCACATGTTGACCCCCGCCCCCTCTCCACCCGTGTAGCTTCCGGTTTTTTTTCGCACGACTGCGCGTGCGTCTGCGGCGAGAGCCACACACTTTAGGCGATGCTTTAGAAAACTTAAGTTTTCGGCCAGAGTCTCGATTATTCTTAACGTTTCAATGTAAATCTTAAGATTTTAATAGAAAAGTTGGGTTTTTGTTCAAGTTCCGAGACCATGAATTTCTTAACCCATGATTTCTTAAGCATTTCGCAGGGTGCATGCTGAAACCGACCCACCTCCATCCGTGTAGCTGCTGGAACTTTCTGGCGTCGGGCTCGCTGGCGGGGACGAGGTCCCGGGCGAAGCTCCAGGCCTGCCTGACCGGCACCTGTTTGTTTCGGGGGGTCCCTCTGGGACAGAGAAGCTTCTCCACGCAGTTGTGCCGATCAGCCGGTGCGTAGGCGTGGGCCGCAGCACGGGGGGGAGGCTACCCTAGGAGAAAAGGTACAAGCTGGGGCCCTCGACATGCAATTTCACATGGTCAATGGCAGAGCATCTGCTCCAGAGACGGGGGGCGATTTTCAGAAGACGCGTGCGAGGAAGGGATGGGGTCGGCCTCAGAAAGCGCTCACGAAACTTCCCCCAACGTCCACGAGGCACGCTGGTGGACCTGTAAGGAAGAGGGATCGAGGACCAGTAGGAGGACCAGGAGATGGGGAATGATGTGGAGGAGGTGGAGGAGGATGGGGAGAGGAGGAGGATGGGGAGAGGATGAAGATGAAACAGAGGTGTGAGGAACAGCTGCAGGAGGGGGAGGACGAGGAGGAGGAGGAGGAGGAGGGGGAGGCGGAGGGGAAGGAGGAGGAGGGGGAGAAGGAGGAGATAAGGAGAGGGGAGGGGGATGGGAGGAGATCCAGGCGGATCGGCTCGGCCAGTCGAGGGAACAACCCGATTGCACTCACGACATCACCTCCTCCTTCTCCTCCTTCTCCCCCCCCCCCTCCTCCTCCTCCTCTCCTCCTCTCCTCCTCCCCCTCCCCCTCTCCTCCTCTCCTCCTCCTCCTCCTCCTCCTCCTCGTCCTCCTCCTCCTCCCTCCTCCTTCTCCTCCTCCTCCTCTCCCTCCTCCTCCTCCTCCTCCTCCTCCTCCTCCCCTCCTCCTCCTCCTCCTCCTCCTCCTCCTCCTCCTCCCTCCTCCTCCTCCTCTTTCTCTGCCCGCGCACCCTCGAGGCCCTCCGACCCTGAGATCCGACGTGGCGACAAAACTGGCAACCTCGCGAAAAACCGCGATCCGAGCCCTGGACCTCACCCTTCCGCGCAATTTTTCGAGCCGGACCGATCTGTGACGCCCAGATTTCAGGGTCCGAGGCCATTCGAAGGCCCTCCGCAGGCTTTCCGCAGGCCCTCGACGTCATGATCTTCCATGACGTGGACCCCCAGCGGGCAGGACCCATTCCCTGGGACCGGTTTTTCATCCCGAGTCGTTTTCTGACTCCCGAGGCTTTGGCGTTTCGACATTGGGCGGAGGGCCTCCAGGAGCCCCCACGACGGCTCAAGAGTCCCCCAAGAGGACTCCCAAGAGCGCCTCAAGAAGCAAAAATGGCCCCATTCCATACATTTTCACGATGTTCACCGTTTCGGCGTCGGCCGCGTCGAAGACGGCCGCAGGAGCCGACAAGATCGCCCCAAGACGGCCAAAGAGAGGCGGGGGAGGGGGGGGGTCTGGCTCCGGACCTCTGCTTCGTGCGACGCTTTGCAGCAGTGCGCCCCATAGGGGGAGACTCCACCTGCTTGAAAAACAGGCGCCAGCAGAAAAATAGCCAAGGCCTGCTCCTTTGGGGGGGGAAAAAGCGGGTGCGCGGGCCCGCGCCGATCGGCCAGACATTGAGTAAGACAGCGACGGCGCCCCGGGAGGTCCGCGAAACAGCTCCCGCAGCTGGTTCCTCCATGGCGCCGCCCGGCGCCGAAGGGCGCCAGCGTGTGTCGAGGAGCGTGCCAGGCGGCGGGGCCTATAGCGCAAACTCGGACCCCCGACGCCCCGAGTTATTCGCGACGTGGGCCCCCCAGGAGTCTCGACGCACTCCCCGACCCAGACCCCCCCCCGGGTGAGGCAACAATCGCGACGAGGAGTTCTTGGCCATTTTCGGCCTCTGGGGGGCCCTCACTGGCCCTCGGGACCGTCAAAAAGGAAGGCTCGGGACGACAAGCCGGTCCTGGGGAACAGGTCCTGCCCGCTGGGGGTCC